GTTTTTTTTATTGTTGTTGTTTTTCACAGCTGTTGTCATGCCATATGCTGCACAATTCATTTGGTGGTGGGACTCTTGGCTGAAAGCGCAGACATTTGGAAAGCCCACGTGTTCTAATTTAGAACTGAAGGTGCGATTGGTGGATTTTAATTGGGTGAGGTCAAGGGTGATGTTGGAATATCAGGCCAATCACAAAGAGAGTGTGTTGGCAATGCAGTAGAGCTAATTTCATGTGGCAGATGGGGGCTGGCTCGGCGGATCAGAGACATTGTCGGGTGGTTGCAGCTAGCATTTAAAAAAGGTGTCATATCAGTAAAATTAGAAACATTATACACACACAACAAAAGACACATACACTCATGAAAACAGATAATCTAAATTAGAAAAATTCAAGCTTTAAGTGACACGATTTTTTGGCAATGTACGGCCAGACTCATGCTGTCGCAAGCATGCAAACTCACCATAAACAATAACAGTCGCTGTAGTGCTTCGTCTTTTGGCCACTATGTTCTTTGCCACACATGTGTAGTTGGCCGTGTCAGACAGACGTGCCTGTTTGATGATCAGATTGTGGTCGATGGTGATGTAGAAGTTTCTGTCCTCCGCTGGGTCAATTATCTCTTCGTTCTTCAACCACTCCACCTGGGAGACAGAGAGAGGAGAGAATGAGGTCAGTATAGAAGTTTCTCTACACCTTTGACCATCAGAACAATGTAGCTAAAGAGAGACTATAATAGGTAAATTGTGTTATTGTGTCATAACACTATGTCTTATCTGAATTTACAGTGGAAAAGTTTGTTCCTGCCATAAGCCAAAAACAAATACAACCAGATAAACAATTATTCATTCAACTTAAGTTCTTTGCTTTTTGCAACTTCATTAGATCTTGCCATCTGAGGGAAATTATACATTTGTTTTCATAACTGATCCACCTTGTGAAAAATTATAAGAGTAGAATGATGGGGAAACAAAATTGAAAAAATTGTTTGAAAGTCACTTCCGTCTAAAAAAAAAAAACAGTCACTCTGTGAGAGTAAAAGAACAAAACTAAAAGAATCAAGTCTGGGTATTGGTATAATCTTGTTTTTCCAAGATTACAAATAAAGAAAAGATGGAAGTACTTCTAATAGGATGCTGTTGTAATCTTGTTTTTCAACGGTTAGGCAAAGCAATATGTTTGAGATATCAAATATAAGATAAAAAACAACATTTACGAGCAGATAAATAGACCTTGTGGCATATGATGTGAAAATAATAGTAATCATGAATAATAAAACTACCGAAAGATGTTCATGCATCAGGTGACAGAAATCATACAGTGGTAATAGTAATAAAGACCATCATCCACAGCAGACCCCAATATGCAACCTCTGGGTAGCAGTGTAGAAAAGGAGGAAAATGTCCCGAACATATGCTTTTGCAAGGTACTTTGGGTGAAGGGTGGAACAGTGGGAAACTATCCTATTTATGAGCCTAATCACATTTCCTGAGTGCTGTATTTACTGGTCCAAACCTTCATAAATTCAGCCTGTCCAAGCTTTATGGCAGGCACATAAATGTCCGAGCCACGTTGTTTAATTCACGTTGTTTAATTTCCTCCTCCCTTCGCATTAGGAAATGGAAATCTCAGATGCAGAAAAGAGGAAATTCAGTGTTATTCTTCAGTTTACTGCCGGCTCAGGCTGTCATTCTTCTTCTCTCTCAGTTATTCTGCCCGTTTCTCTCTCTGATCTTTAAAGATTCGGCAGTGCTCTTTGGCCATGGGGCTCACTGTAGCTCTGAATTCTCAATCTTAAGTGAGATGCTGTGTGACCTTTCAGTTTCCATTACAAAGTAAAGGTTATACTGGAGAAAAAAGCAAAGACAAATAAACAAAAACATATGTATACACGGTGCACATGGTCATGTGAGGAGTTTATCCTTGTAGTGTAAAAGTAGAAAATAGTGTAGTTACTCTCTCTCACAAAGCAAAAGCAATGCGTGTTATATGGATTTTTATTCATTCATGCTCAGGATAGTTGAATAAGCTGCACTATGGTTACACATAAAAATGACACACCAGACATGCACAGAATAAAAGGCTTTTTTTTTACAGTATAGCCTACTGCATTTGTTTCACCCCGTTCTCAGAGATCAAAGCGTATTGGTCAGACTACATAACCGTATGAACCTGACATAGACAAAGTGAAAATGAATGCAGCTCAGCACCACTACTCACGTAATATTTATCTTCAGCAAAACACTGTTAGAAAAACTAAAATACAAACAACTATGACTGTCAGACTCAAAGTTTTCCTATCAACTTTGAATTTTCAAAGCGTACAGTCAAGTGTCTCACCCATGACCTGAATTTTCCTCTTGATGAGCAAAGTACCATAATAAAATATCTGTACGCTGGCCGTGAACCAACAACCCAGGGGACATGGAATATAGGAGAGTGAAAGATAAAACAAGTTAAACTGGATAAGAAAAATGAAAATGATCCCGGGTGCAATATCACCGAGCGACTGCAAGTGTGACCCGACTCTATTCAGGTAAGCTGGTTAAGTCAGTTAGCGCAAATTGGTAGCTTCAACTAGCCAGAGCCAGTTGGGAAGAGCCACAAAAAAGCTTTCTTTTGGGTTGAGCATGGTGGCTCAGTAGTTAGCACTGTTAACACTAAACAATAAATTAAACGTTCTCACTCTCTACATACAACAAACAGCATTTGATCAAAGGTGACTTTTAACTGCAGAGATTATATAATCAGTTTTCAATCAATTCGTGAATTATTATAATTTGTGCAGCAAACTTGATTGTTGCCCAAAATGTCACACAAGTGGAATGGTACCAATTGTATATATTTTTTCTATTTTATATTTTTATTGTATTTTTGTACTTTTCTACTCTTTGCACTACATTTCCATGTGCTGCTGTGCCAAATTAGAATTTATCGATAAAGGGACATCTTATCTCAAGAACATTTACTTAACTGCTATACTTAAAATTCAAGATACTTGAGTATTTCCAATGTATGCATCTTTATGCTTCTACTCCACAACATCTCAGAGACACATTTTATACTCGACTATATTTGTCTGACAGCTTTAGTTACTAGTTACTTTTTAGATTACAATATACACAACCCTTCCTGTCCAGTGAAAACCATATATCTTAAAAGTTTGGTGATTTTTCTGATAAAGGGTTAAGTGTTCCTTTATAGTCTGAAACAATTATCCTATTACTTAAACTAAATAAACCCTCTTGGATTAGCTGTAAGATCCATTGTTGTTTTTCTGAGCAGAAAAGTTGACTTTTTAGAGATACATGGTTCTCACAGCAGAGTAACACTACAAACACATGACTTCATAGAATATGATGCAATGCTGTTAAACTACCCAACTGTATATAAAGTAGTTAGAATTAGCGCAACCTTAAACAACTACAGCACTAAAATGCAACATAGACATTAATGCAACAGTAATATTAATAAAAAAACATCATATAGAATAGTAAAACACTTAGAATTGATACTTTCAGTACATTTTGCTGATACATACATACTAATTTAGACTGTTTCATAACCAGTTAAAAACTCCTTGTAGTAGGTTTAAGTAAAGGATCTGAGTACTTCTTCCACCACTGGCTCCACAACATATAATCAGATCATTTCCCAGCTTAAATATGCTAGTAATACAGGCCGTTATTGGCAGCCTATTAATAATAGCTATATAAGCTCTTGTATGATGATGCACTGAAAATAGCCGCAGTCTTTGATGATGCCAGAAGGTTGAAGCATGTGAGAGTGATGTGTGCTCTGCTGGGCTCAGACAAAGAGACCACATGTGGTGGCTATACAGCCACTGCCACCGCATCATTAGCCACAGCTGGTGTAAGAGAGAGTGTGTGTGTGTGTAAATGGCAGAGGGTGGCTGATTGGATCAAGCCAACCCCAGGGGAGAATGTGTATTTGTTATTTTAACTCTCGCCCCCACATCACCTGTCTCTCTCACTTTATCCACACACCACTAAACACACACACACACACACACCCCTACACACACCTACATCCACACACCAACACCCATAAACCTTTTTTTTATTGCCATGGTGTAGATATTAAATAATGACATTATACATGCCTGTGTGGAGATACTTTAAATGCTTACAGTGTGTGATCACACATACACACACATACACACACACCTACACACACACACACACACACACACACACAATACTTTGACACACTTGCGCATACACAAACATAGGCAATACTCTTGTCCTCTGTTTTAACTGTAACAGGATTTTAAAAAACGGTTCAAGAAGAGTCCATTCTTTTTGTTCTTTAGACACAAAAAATCAAATAGCTTTCTTTTCAAAGGGATAAAAGCTTTGTCTGATCAATTACACACACACTTTGTTCGTGTTGTCTTTCTGCTTGACCCAGTGACTGAGACATTAATGTGACTACAGGTATATTTCAAACCTTGTGCCTATGAATACTAGATAAAAGCAGATTTGTATTTCGTCAGTTCTGAATAATACACTTGCTTGCAGTGCTTGGATACTGCAATATACAAATATGTAAACATTTCCATATGTTTATTTACTTACAACTTAAGGACAAATGCCCCTTCTCCTGCTGTGCCATATCAAGGCAGCAGAAAAGTGTAATGTATCTATTGAGATATGCATCTTTTTTTGGCAGTGGAACAAAGGCATGGCCGCATGCAGTGCAAGATAAAAGTAGGCCAAGATATAGAGATATATACTCCCTTTTGTTGCACTGGAGAGCAGCACAAAATGTTTCGCGACGCAAAGCTTTGCCACATATCTGCTACTGGGAGCAGGAACATCATAGTCACACTGTGTCACAAAGAGAAACACAGTGTAAATCTTGCAAAAGCAAAACAAATGGCAGACCACAGAGCAAGAAGTGAGATAACAAAGCAAAGAATATCTATGACAAATGCTAAAATATGACATGCTTTGTAGAGCCACTACAAAGAGTCTCATAGGGGAGTTGATAACAGCGCAGAGATACAGGCCCTATGGATAGAATCTGCCACTGAATCACAACATTAATTTTTCAAAGCAGCAGCAGGAACAAACAAACAGATACACAATAAGAGTATCGCCAAACACAACATAGACCAGTTACAATAAAACAGATTCTTCAATCAAGGACAGGCAGGGAAATCAAGCTGTACTGCGTGTGTGTGCCTGTGAATCACTCAAGTGTTAATATGTCCGTCAGTGAGGATTATCTCCTTGATTAGCTATATTATCTGTATTCCTATAACACCACAGATGAGTGGGTTAAAGAGCTCCTGTAGTGATTACTCTACCTATGTGTGGGCGGGGAGTGTGCATTGTGTGTCCATCCAGGTTTTAATAATCCCAACCCCCCCACCACCACCACCCGCTCTAGCAAGCTTTTTCGCCTCATTTCATAGCAAGCTGAGTCTGAGTTGTTGGATATTAGAGGACAAAGACAGAGAAGGGACAATTAAGACAGACAAGAGTTACGACTGAGTTAAAATCTATTTGTGTCAACTGACCACAGGGCTTTTGCAGTGCATTTTATTTTATTGAGTAAAGAAAGGGAGAGCTGCACACTAATAGCTCCAATGCAATGAGTTTTATTTATAGTTTTATGA